TCCCCCCTGCTCAGCGTCTTCAACTTGCTGCCGGCACTCGGGTGGGGGTGCGAGCAGAGGCCGGAGGGCAGGTCCGGGTCGCGGAGCGGGGGGGAGAGGGGGCCGGGGAGCAGAGCGCCCTATAGCGCGACCTTAGTGATTCAGGACACATTATACAGCCCAGGAGCCAAATCCCTTCTTCCCGCGTGAGCCGGGATCCTGCTCGGACCCAGACTCCCGCCGCTACCCACAGACCCTTCCGAGGCCGCGAAGCTCTCCTCGACCCCACGTCTTCCTCTGAGCCCAGACTCCTCAGACCCCTGACCCCTTCTTGACGCCAAGACCCTTTTCCTCCGACCTCAGACTCCTCTTCCGACTCCGAATTCCTCTTCCGACCTCAGACTCTGCCCCCCCTCCCCCGCCCCGCAGGCACCTGCTTCATCCCCAGACTGCATCCCTGCTTGGACCCCCGACAGTCCCTCAGACTCCTCCTTCAGGTCCCACCCCTTCCGGGACGCCTGACCTAAGGTTGTGTATGTGTTAGGATCCTTAAGCGCAGACCCCCAGATCCCACTCTAGAGGCCGTGGCTTAGCATTCTCGGGTGGGGTCTCTGGAACCTGAGACTATCGCTAAAACAGTTACCACCGTTCAGAGTTTTTGTTGTGGTTCCGGAAAAGGTGCTTTAAGACAGGAACCCTGGGCAGGACGGTGTGCGGGACTGTGGGGGGGATCTCTGAGTCTGGGCGTCGGCATTCTGTTTCCTGTGCCACCGCTTACGAACTGTGTGATCTTGGGCAAGACACTTCATCTTCTTTAGTATCAGCTTCCTCACCTGCAAACTGGAGAGAACAATAGTATTCTTCTGGGGTGTGTGTGGGTTGTTGTGAGAATTAAACGACACATAGAAAGCTCTCGGAGTGGGTCCTGGCCCTCCTCAAGTGCCCTTATTACCGCTGTTTTCATGCCCTTAATCTCGTGGAGTCTCATCTCATCCAACCCTATCCACCCCCTTCCCACTCTTAGGAATTCCAGGTACACTATAGCTTGCACTGCCTTCCCATCTCCGGGAATGAGGGGTTCACTCTTTATGAGGCCTCTTGTCCAAGCTTTCTTCCTACAGCTCACAGGCAGAGGGAGGGGGCTGGTGAAGCCCCTGGGCTTACATCCCTTCTTCCACCCCAGGGTAGCTTGAAAACCTACCCTGGGGGGGTT